TGTCAAATTAAAATGAAAGTTGATACTTAGTTCACTCAAAAGAATCAGTTAACACCATCTCAAAAATTCAGAACCAACACAAAGATACTAGACAAGAGATTTAGTAAGAACACTAACACAGATTTAATCAATTCTTAAGATCAACAGAAAATATGTATTTCCTAGGTCACTACAAGAAGGATTAATTTGGGGCCAGTCCAGTGGCACAGCAGTTAAGTGCACACGCTCCACTTCGGCGGCCTGGGGTTCACCAATTCCGTTCAGATCCCGGATGTGGACATGGCACCGCTTGGCAAGCCATGCTGTGGCAGGCATCCCAGATATCAAATACAGGAAGATGGGCACGTATGTTAGCTCAGGGCCAGTCTTTCTGAGCAAAAAGAGGAGGATTGGCAGCAGATGTTATCTCAGGGACAATCTTCCCTCAAAAAAAAGAAGGATTAATTTAAGAGAAATAATAATTCATGAAATCTAAACTCCACCTATATGAAATTTTTATTAGACTAGCAGAATTTAGTGTAGGCAATTTCTTTGATTTTAACTTACAATAATAATTCAAGCTTTCCATTTGGACCTTGGTCTACTTCTCAAATGAGTATTTTTCATGCTTTCATTGTTTTAGCATTTTTCACCTTTCTTCATTGACTATTCCTCAAACCCAAGAATTTTGGAGTTGAAAGGCAATTTAAGAGATTATTTAGTCATACACCTGATTTTAGAGATTAAAAAAAGGTGGGGGAGGTGCAAAAGCTGATTCTAAGAACTACCTAAAGGCCAAAATGACTTATCTCCTAATTTTCAGTCCACTATAGGCTTCCCTAGGCTTTGGGGTCCGACTGCAATTTGCAGTAGGTTGTGATTCTGGTTCTACTGCTTTGTGTCCTTGCCAGATTTTCTTAAGCATTCTGTGCCTCATTCATTTTATCTGTACAAAGGAGATAATAGTTTCTACACTTACCTTGGAGGATGGTTATGAAACTGCAATGAACTAATACAAGATATGTTTAGCACAGAGCCTAATACGCAGTATATAAATTGCCAGTTATTATGAACAAATCAGCATAGTATAATTCAACTACAAAGCATGGTCCACAAGACTTCAAATATTTGATTTAAAAAATTTAACAGATTTTTATTTGTCCTGGCCAAAGATAAAATTACGTTCTATTTGTGAAAACTGTGCCTATGGAAGAATAAAGTATACAATCTCTCTTTGTATCCCTAAGATCTGACATAGCCATATTGTCCGGCTTCAAAAGACGAATTTTGAAACAATGTAATTATTTTCAAAACAAAATTTCATTACAACTTTAATTCATTACAGATATTTGTTGATTCAATTCAATAAATACTGAGTACCTACTATGGGCAAGGTCCTGATGGATTCAGTTACCACGCACCAGAAGTGTGAAGATGCATGAAGGACACTAGAAATATTACTAGGCCATCATTTTATTAACACTGTCCCATCTCTACAACACAGGAATCTTTGCTTAATATTATAATCAAGCTTTGCTATCCTGTCACAAAATGTTAAAAAAAAACACACACTCAAATGCTAGTTTTCAATGAAAAGATTAACAGTAATTAAAAAGTCAACAATTCTATTTTATAAAATTTTCATTGCACTCAAACAACATAATGTAGCCTGAATCACTTTCTACAATTACTAAGGAAGAGATTTTAAGAATAATTGAGTAGATAAAATTACTAATAGTCATGTAGAAGGGAAGGAATGATGAGGGTTGATATTTTCTGCTTAACTTGTGATCTACCACTCTACTCATCCAGTCTAAGTCTCTGATTCACTTCTATCTTCATATAACCTTAAGGAGAACAAAAAAGTAGGTAATTTTAATCTTCCAATGTGTCAGAGAGAGAACTTGTTATTCAGTGTGATCACGAAACATCTAATCAAAGAATCCAAACTTCATCCTCTGGAGTTACAGCTTGAAATACACAAATATAAATTTCTAAGGTGTATACTCTGGCAATCCTAAACTTGAGAAGCAACCTGGTGCCCCTGTGCTGAATTTAGCTTAGAGTACTGTAAAAATCTAAAAATTTCACATTAAAAAATAAGCTATCGCGATTCTCTAGAAAAAAGATTGGGAACTTGGCCTAGGTTACCAGATGGCAACAATCAACTAGAGTAAATGCTACCAGGTAGGGACCAGGGATCCTAATCACTTGTCCTCCTTCCCTGCATAACAAAGAACTCTCCAGCTAAAAATGCCAATAGCATCCCCACTGGTACACGGCTCTTTGAGGGCAAGAAGCTGTTCTTATACCTCTTCCTTCCGAAGAACACAGCATAATATTTTAGACAAAGAAAAGAAACTTATGGTTAGATGTGGATTTGGGAAATATAATTCAGGATCCTTTTATACAGATAAGGAAAAAGTGGTTCAGATATCAACCTATCTTGTTCCTTCAGTCCAAGTACTCTTCCTTATATTCCACTTATACAAAATCAGACAAGCAGCTACACCGATAGAGACATCCTCAAATGTAATCAGAACGGGTAACTCAACTCGAAAGCCAAATTTTGGAATCTCAGATTTAAGATCAATTCTGTAAAAAAAAAAACCCCAGTGAGTTATAGCAAAGACATCTGTAAAGAATCATTATCATTACAGCAAGGGCATTGGGGCAGCTGACCTACTGGCATATAAAGAGAGTGCAAGAAATTCCATAGTTTGAGGACAACTTCTATGTTCAAAAAGCAGTCTACCTTAATCAGGAGATTATAGCTTAGCCAAATAAGGAAGTCCAATTTTTAATTAAAGCATGGCAAGCCGAAGTCTTTCTGAAATGGTATCCATCTATCTTTTCTCACATCATTTTCCACCCTCCTCACCCCACTCAACACTATCCTCCAGTGACTTCACTCTTGGGTTCTTGTCATTCCCAACCCCCCCATACCTTTGCACAGGCTGCTTCTTTTCTCTCACTCATTCTTCAATGCCTCGCTTAAAATATCAGTCCTTTACTTTGGCAGTTAGGCACCCCACTCCCTGGCGTTGTGTACATTGCCTGACTTATAGTAGGAGCTCTATGTTTACAGACCAAGTGTATGAATTAACATTGTCCATATTTGGCCTACTCATCTCTGAAAACATTAATCAGATACTACTATTCATTTGCATTTGGTTCCTTGACTATATCATAGCTTTATAGAAGGCAGAAATCCAATTCAGACATTAGAAAAATCTGCAGTATCTAACTACAGGGTGGTACAAATCAATTCAATATGCTAGTTGAACAAAATTCACATGAGTCTTTCAATCTAATCTAATAAAACCCCACTAACGGAGCGCCTGTCGCTATATAAATGTTTCAGTCACTATCTAAGCATGCTCAGAAGTAATTAAAAAAACTAGATGAAAAAAATCGCAGGATTAGTATTAATGATGACTTTTTGTTGACCCCCCCCCAAATATTTTTGGTTATAAGCACGTACAGGTACATTCTTATTTATAACATGTTGCTATTACAAAAATAAGAGCGATTTGTTACATCACTACAGATTTTACAGATTTTGACTCAAATGATCCTTTCATCGAACTGGAGGATAAAACAGAAGTTAACGAAGTGAACTCCTAATGCAATCAAACATACTACCAAATTAGTTTCGGATTACCATTCGGTTAACACTGTAGACTGAAAACGTCCAGCACCTAATATGCAGAGTGTCAAAAGGAGAAAAAGATTCTTACTTTTGCTTACATATAAGTTCATACCAACATCGCACATTTTCAAGCTGCAATTATATTAAGGGATTACCTAGTAAAGGTAAAGTTCAAATTAAGAAATCATTCACTTTCCTGGAGTACACGTACTTTTTTTTTTTTTTTTTTACAGCTCTCGCTGGAGAAAGAAGTGCCTTCAGGGCAAATGTACGCAGCTACGTAATACAAAGAGGTCTGGACAGTTTACGACTCTGAACAGAGAGGCAGATTCAAATTGAAACTTCGGGTATAATGGGCCCGAAGCCATTTTGAGAAATAAGGAGGAAGGACTGGTAGAACACACTGACACGTAAATCCCGCCCTGAGGAAGGATTCCAACCCGGGACACTAGTGCTCTCCGTAGTCTCTTCCTCGTGGGTGTGAAAGTGAAGGAGCCCGAAAGATTAACTGCGAGGGAGAGCTCGAACGAGCTGGAGGCTGTGAAGACTGCTTCAGTGACACATCCTTTCCCTTACTATGGCTCCTGTGGACAGCCCCTGGTCCTTTCACAAACTCATTACCAGAACCTTCCATACTATTGTGTAAAAGTACGCGCGCTTTACTCCAACGGAGAAGGACGTTCACTCCGAGGGAAAGGAAATGCTAAGCCAACTCCTTGGAGAAAGAAGCGCGAGCGCCGCAGAAGCGGGAGAAAGACTTAAAGCCAGCTATGCGTAGCACGCGCTGGGGTTTTAAGTGGCTTAGGCACCAAGAACACAAAACCGAGTTCCAGCCTCTAACCGATATTACCAACGTTGGGAAACGCGAGTCTCGTCACATTTCAGAGCCCAGAAGGGCACTTCTTTCCTCTTCCTGACGCGCGAAGAGGTAGCGGCCTACTCAGCCAACGGCCAATTACCGTGAGCTGTCGGGATCCCGCCGCGCGGTCCAGACTTACCTGCCGGGCTCTCTGAAGCGCATCTTTGAAAGCATCGTTAACTCCTCCACCGCCGCCGCCGCCGCCTCCACCACCAGCTGAGCCAGAGGAGGGTGGAGGCACTGTTGAATAGTCTGCCATGTCTACACTACAGTGGCCGCTACCGCTTCTTCGCAGAGACCTTCCCTCAGCCAACTGCTAAGAAAGAAAGAAAATGGCGGCCGTCGAGCCAGTATCACATTCTTGTGCGACCATCGTGCCGTAAAGGGGCGGGGACTGGAAGAAGAAAATCTCGCGATGTTTTGAAGCAACGGGCTGGTGTGGAGGTGGGGCTGAAAAAGGAGAGGAAGAGAGATATCGCGAGAATTGTGTTTGCGATTTCGCGAGAATGGGGTGTATTTGGCGCCTCCTCTCCGCGCGGCCCTAAGTTGAGGCACTGTGGTTGTTCTTCTGGGGTGGTGTGTGAGACTGCCGCGGCTGCCGCAGTTGGCTCGAGTTTCTGATAGCCTGAAAAAAGGAGGAATTGTTTCTTATCGGTCGCCGCCTCAGGGAGGAAGTGAGGGTGGATTTTCTGCTGAGGGTCACGCTGTGCATCCACGGGGAAGAGGTGACGTCGGTAGACGTTACAACGACGCAACAGTGTCTCGAAAGCGCCGCAGCCGGGAGGGCGCCTGGGAGAAGCGCGCCTGGGCGCCGCGGGTGATGCTCGTGGCGACTTCCGCCAGGCCCAGCGGAAACTCGGCCTGATTTTCACGGTAGTAAAGTATCCCTGTGTTTTACGTCTAGATTGTCAGGTTGTTAGTTTTCTCTCAAGTGGGGATGAATTCAGGCTGGAGGCCTCTGAGCTCCCAAGCCGATTTGGAAGTTTTTGTGTAATGTGGATAAGGCTGTGGTAATGTGATTGCCCTTTTCTTTACCTTTCAAAACCGTGATTGTTCCTTGAATTCAGTTTTAACCAAACTTAGTAACCTAGTATTGTATGTGCCCGTATCCAGTTTTATTGAGGTCTTTATAATTTAAGAACAGCATCCATTTCTTGACCAAAATTGACTTTATGGCTTCCTAGAAATAGTGTCCTCCGGCCCCTACCTGTGAGAACTCCGATGTAAGGTAATGTTCTGAATTGTCATCCCGGGAGTAGATAAAAAAATTTTTTGTGTGTTTTATGTTGTCTTCTTCAGTTACCAAGTAATTTCAGACTTCAGACTTCCTGAGCATACCGCGGCACGTGATTTACTGCACTAGTAGTGATTTCAGACTCCTTAGGATGCTTTAGGGATTAGGAGGCGATCACAGTGATTTTTTCTAAAATTCTTTCCTTTTGCATAACAAAGAACGAGGTAGAATGAACTTTACCAACTTTGGCATTTTGTGCTTTGTGAATTAGGTCTAAAAGTGTACTTTTCCCATTGCTAGTCTTAGTGTAATTGAGGGAAATGTGTGCTGCAGTCTTCCTGATAGCTAAAACGAGTGGGCCCGCTGGCAAAAGGCCCAAAGTAGCCAGATAACTACACACTTATGAGCACATAGATACAAGTGGGCCGTCATTTTTCACTACTGAGCTTTTCCTGCCATTTTACCCGTTTATAGCTCTGATTATGTTTTTCACTGTTTATAGCCATCCCTTTAGATTATTGGGGAATTTATATTTGGAAAAGCAATGAAAATATTGAACTATAGATTTAAGCATAACTGATAAGAAAAATTGTAAAAGCAGTCTTGGGCATTATTGCTAAGTAGAATTTTTTCAGTTATATTTATTTATTTATTTTTAAAGATTTTATTTTTTCCTTTTTCTCCCCAAAGCCCCCCCGGTACATAGTTGTATATTCTTCGTTGTGGGTCCTTCTAGTTGTGGTATGTGGGACGCCGCCTCAGCGTGGTTTGTTGAGCAGTGTCATGTCCGCGCCCAGGATTCGAACCAACGAAACACTGGGCCACCTGCAGCGGAGCGCGCGAACTTAACCACTCGGCCACGGGGCCAGCCCCTTTTTCAGTTATATTTTGAGAAAGTTTGTTCAACAAATGGCATTTATTAATCAGTAATTGATTTTTTTGTATTTGATTAATTAGACTTATATACCCGTCAGTCTTTCTGCGCAGCATAGTGTTAACCACAGAGTGGTATAATTTACCTCCAAACAAATAAACTTTATTTCATGTCTAACACAATTTTAGTTGTCTCTAAATGTTGAAAATAAGTAAGGACCTTATTTTTTACCTTTTTTTGTAGATTATCCTGGAAGTGTGGGTATTCTAGAATGGGAACCAGTTGGAGTGAGTCTGTATCAGGATTTCTCAGCGTCAGCACAATTGACACTTTTTGGCCAGATAATTCTTTGTTTTGCAGCACTGCTGTGCATTGTAATATGTTTACAGCATCCTTGGCCTCTACCCATAGATGCCAGTAGCATATTGCCACCTCCCACCCCTACTACCAATTGTGACAACCAAAAATGTCTCCAGGGGCCGGCCTGGTGGTGGAGCGGTTAAGTGAGCATGTTCCCCTTCGGCGGCCCGGGGTTCGCCGGTTCGGATCCCAGGTGTGGACATGGCACCACTTGGCAAGCCATGCTGTGGCAGGCATCCCACATATAAAGCAGAGGAAGATGGGCATGGACATTAGCTCAGGGCCAGTCTTCCTCAGCAAAAAGAGGAGGATTGGCAGCAGTAGCTCAGGGCTAATCTTCCTTAAAAAAAAGAAAAAAAAATGTCTCCAGACATTGCAGATGTCCCCTGGGAGGCAAAGTCACCCCCTCATTGAGAACCACTGGTCAGCCTTGATTCCTGCCCCTGCCCCTCCATCCATGAGGAGGTCCTATTTACCGTACTTCCAAGGTATATTCCAAATTCCATTACTTTTTACCTCCACTACTCGCAAGTTACCATCACTTCAGCCCTGGACTGTTACACTAGCATTCTAGTTGGTTTTTCTGCTTGCACCCTTACTTATCTACAATTTCCTTTTCAGAATAATGAGATTTTGTGCAAGAAAGTATATAATATACATGTAAGGTGTCCAAAGTGATAAGTACCCATGTATCGACTCTCTAGGAATGATCTTCAAGGAACAGACCATTACCAGAACCTGTAAAGCTCAAGAGTGGCTACCTGATTGTATTATAATTGTTTTTCATATAATAACTTGAAGGATTTCTTTAAAGCTTAAATTCAGATCATCTCACCTATGTCTTTTCTATTGCACTTTAAATCTTTTCTCTTTGAGTGGCCTGATGGCTCCATATTATCAGGCCACCGTCTCTAAACAGTCCTTCTCATTCTACTTCAGCCACTTTGCTGCCCATGATCTTTCTTGCCTCTGGGACTTTTTATACTTGCTTTTTCCTCTGCCTGATTCATATGCTCTTAAGACTTTTCACGTGTGTGGTTTGTCCTCATCATTCAGGCCTCAGTTCAGATGTCACCGCCTTAGACCATCTATGACCTCTGGTTGTGCCATTCTGCAGTCACTCTCTATCCCATTACCATGTTCTCTTTGTAGCATTTATCTGAGATTATCTTGTGTTCTATGTCTTTACTTGTTTATTGTCTCTTGTCTGTTAGAATGTAAACTCCTGGAGAGCAAGGACCTTGTCTGTCTCTACCATTGACCAGTCTCTAACACATAGTCTTAGCATTCTAGGTATTTGTTGAATGAATATTGAAAAATATCTGCCTCTACATTTTAGTTGGTTTTGTGACCTTGGGCAAGTGACTTAGTCTCTGTGTCAGATTTCTCATCTACATAATGATCATAACCTGCCTTGCTATCCTTGAATGAGGTATCTCTGTGAGCTCTTCAGAAAGAGGAAAGTGCTATACAAATGGAAATTGGTATTATTAAACGTCTAGTTCAGCTTCTGGTATTTCATAATCAGAAAGGGACAGTCCATGGTACTCCATTTCTGTAAATTTTTTGTATTAAACAGCTATGTTCAGATCTTAGTTTTGGTAAAACCCAGGATTCTGCAACAGCAACTGAATTGTGGGAAAACTGTAACCAGTGACTTTGGATTAGAGTATATGTGGTTGATTCTGAGTGCACTCCATCTTCTCAAAGCCATTTGTACTTTGCTAGTTGCTCTAGGTGTTTTCATTATAACTGATGAAATCAGACTTTTCTTGACTGTGTTTATTCCCCTTTGCAGTATAAATCCTCTTAAAAGTGGATGTATCGTAACTAATCTAAAATCGGTTTATTGTGCTTTGAGAGATTGGTTAAATATTCAGCCGAATTATATTTTACAGTCACACTCTTATCACAGAAATTGATATCCATATTTCATCCTCAGGATGAAACAGAAGTCAGTATTTTTGAGGTTATAGAAGCCTGGCAGGGGCATTTAGATTTATCAAATAACAGAATGAAAAGATTAGTAAAGATAGTAAAAGTTGGGCTACTACATGTACTGGCATGGTTCTTCATTTTACCTTCTGCTTTTTTGGTTACCAAATGACTGAGTGGATCTTTTTTAGCGTGACTTTTCACTATTGGATTTTTTTTTAAATCTGTAAAATATTAACAGATTCTTATTTATAGCTACTGGAGAAAAATAATCCATTAGCACTCTTTGAACAGGCATTTTAAAGATTTTATTTTTCCTTTGTCTCCCCAAAGCCCCCCTGGTACATAGTTGTATATTTTTAGTTGTGGGTCCTTCTATCTGTGGCATGTGGGATGCTGCCTCAGCATGGCCTGGTGAGCGGTGCCATGTCCACGCCCAGGATCCAAACCAGTGTAACCCTGGGCCGCTGAAGTGGAGTGCGTGAACTTAACCACTTGGCCAGGGGGCCGGCCCCTGAACAGGCATTTTAGAGTGGCAAAATTGTATAGGCTTCCTGCATCACCTTTATACCCATCACCTACCTCCTAACAACTCTTAGCCAGAGGGATCTGATAACTTCATGCTGCATGCTGTGTGTCATTCAGACCAGTCCTGTATTTTCCCAGTGCACAGTCACAACAGAGTCTGGTTAGATATAAGGAGGAAAGTGGCCACTTCAAATTAAAGTAAATGGTCTATGATGTTGTTAGGGTATTTGATCATTCGGTTGGTCATTGGTCTTAATGACTTTTATATCTCTTCTGATTGAGTTTCTAGGATTCTGTTTCAGACTGGTGTGATTGGAAGCAGGAAATACTTGCATGTTAAAGGACAAAGTTGTTAACACAAATGTAACTTTGGAACATTGTGGAGAACAACAGTTTGACCAATGTCTGAAACTGAAGACAGTCCTATATAGTGAAAAGGACTCTGAACTTGGTCCCAGAGGATCTAGATTCAAGTCTGACCCATGTGCCCTTTGGTAAGTCATGCAACTTTTTCCTTTTACCAGCATACCAAAAAGAGAGAGCAGGGGCCAGCCTGGTGGCACAGTGGTTAAGTTCATGTGCTCTGCTTTGGCGGCCCGGGGTTCGCCAGTTCAAATCCTGGGCACAGACCTATGCACCACTTATCAAGCCGTGCTGTGGCTGGTGTCCCACATATAAAGTAGAAGAAGATGGGGGTAGATGTTAGCTCAAGGCCTATCTTCCTCAGCAAAAAGAGGAGGATTCGCAGTGGATGTTAGCTCAGGGCTAATCTTCCTCAAAAAAAAAAAAAAAAAAAAGAGCAATTTAATCTATTTCTGAAAAGTAGCGAACAATGAAGGATAATAAAAAGTCTCATGTATTTACACAGTGATTTCTGTCTGTTTTCTATCTCAGACATTACCTTAGTATCATCTCACCCTCAGTTATTACACATTTCTTCTC